GGGGGGGGGGGGGCAAAATCGTTTAAATCCACTCACTTCGGCCACCATAACTATGATCAGCGTGTCGGCGATCTCCGAGGCGCTCATGCGGTCCAGCAGGTTCCTCAGCGTCGCCATCAGGTAAGACTGGACCTCACGCTTCACGGTGGGCACCCCCAGCACCATGCTGACGCCGGACTTACCCTTGCTCTGCATGAACGCAGGGCGCAGGCTGTTCGGATCGTTGAGGAAGTGCGGCAGGAAGTTGTAGATCGACGGCAGCTTGATGCTCGTGATGTTGGAGGTGCCGTTGTTGATCAGCAGCTGGAGATCCGGCAGGATGTGGTTGCTCTCGATCAGCTGCAGCAGCTGATGCGACAGCAGGCTGATCTCCTCCTGGCTGCTGACGTACTTCGCCTGGAGATGCTCCAGCTTGGCCTGCAGCTCGGCGATGCTGTTCTGCAAGAGGGTCTCCTCCCTCATGTCCGACGGTGTCAGCAGGTTCAGGATCGCGAACGGCACCAGAACGAGCAGCAGCACGATCAGGCACCGTCTCCGCACCGGAGTCAGGGCTGTGAAATGCGGCGTCATCTTCCTTATATATCGTTGCTTATCTACGTCGTTGCTCTACATGATTGCGTCGACGGTCACCGAAGGTAGGAACGGAAAGATCCTCGGGGAGCTGCGTTCACTTATCGACCCACAGAAACACCTGTGACGAAGGAGGAAGGAAGATTAATTACCGATCGTTGCCGTCCGAGTGTAAGATAAATGTCGCTCGGTGTCTGGGAGTTAAAACGTGCGAGCAAACAGCTCGTATCGCTGGTGCTTTGTGAGGTTCTCGGTGGTAACTATTTTCTGATTTTATTTTCTGATTTTATTCCCTGATCCCAATAAGGAAGCAGATCACTTAGTTTCCTTCTCGTGTAGTGTATATCTTTTTAGTAAACCAGAGTGGAGAATTAGATCTTATGAATTGTTGTAAGTCTCAGAGATTTTTAAACATCGTTTAAGAAGGAAAACTCAACTACCATGGAAAGGCAACTGATATTAAGTATAAACATGTTATCTCGGGAATATATTTAACAACTGAATATCTTTCTACATTAGGGTAATTGTTTCATGTATAATTCTCAAACTTTAAATGTTATGGATGGCTTATTCAACACAGGTTGACAGTATTATCAATGAGCTTAACTTCTAATGTACTTACACTGCAAGTTCTCCCATTATAAAGTATTTGTATTCAGAAAACAGCAACAAGTCCAATCAGCCTCGAGGAAATCATGTTTAGTTCCAGCTCGCATCCTTGGAAAGGACGAAAAAGGGGCAACCTGAGGAATAAGTGTAAACGAAGGGGAAGCTCTGATAACTCCTTTTTATAAAATTATTATACAGCAAGGCAATATATATCTCTCTCTTCTACAACAAATGTTCATACAATCTCGAAATGATGTGATTCGATTCAATATGAATTAATACATCCCAATCTGGGGTTTTAACATTTTTTTCCCCCCTTATAACGGTACACTGCAAAATTCTAAATTTTCATCCGTAGCTGAGAGAAACCTCTTGCTCGACGAGCGAGAAACGAGAAACTAGCACTTCGTGCTCGAACTCTATTTAAGCCCACACCGAGAACTCTTTCTTCGAAAACACTGATTATTATTCACTGATAAAAGTTTGCAAGTACCGGTTCAACATTTGTCAAGGTTATGGTTTAATCTCAATCCAGGATCGCGCGTCACGACGTTACCTCCGCTGTCGTCGTCGTCGTCGTTCGCAAACCACGTTCCTTCTTGGCCCCCCCCTCGCCGATAACAAAGGCCGAATACACGCAAATTGCGACTGTTTGTTCTACACACAATGTTCCTCACGGGGAGAAGCGCTCCGGTTGCGCACCTGTTCCTGACATAACCTGAGCGTCCAGGCAACGGAGTGTCTCGAGGTCACTGTGTGTGTATAGAACGTACCAGGCGTCCGAAAAATATGGAGGTGGGAAGATAACAAAGTATCGTATCGGGTAAAATCGTGCGATAAATCATCTCACGGATGCTTCCCCGTCGAAAGAACAGAAGAAAAAAATTCAGATATTCAGAAAAAAGAGAAAAATATTGGCAAATGTGAAATTATAAATTCCTAGAAGAGAAGAAAAGAAATACAAATTCAGCCAATAACGCGCCTCGATGAATCGATTATAAGTCAATTCGCTCGATCATGATATATCGTAGATCAGATCACACATCTCAGGACGTAGAAATAACCGGTCTGTTTTTTTTTTAACCGAACTGGCCGCAACTAGTCGAGAAATTTACATACACACATCGAAACGTACAAAGTGTACATACGAGACCCTCACGCTTCACGGTATGCGTGCATTTCTTGAATTAATGCAGCCAGTTTAGCAAAAAGGACAACTAGACCGAGTGTCGATCGATTGTCGCATGATTGATCGCGCTCGGCGAACGTAACGGTTGAGCAATTCGTCGACGTAATTGGTTTAAATTTAGAGATCCAACAGCGAAGACCGATATAATCAATGGCCGCTGATCGCTTTGTTACGCCGAACGCAGCCAATTTTCAATTGAGAAACGCCGCACACACAGGTGTGCATCGCAAAATACAATATTTGTTACATCGCGAATCACAATTGTTTTGAGAGGATATATATCTTCGAAAACACGCTCGATAATGCCAAATTAGGGATTGATACTTATAAAGGATTTTCCATTGAGAGGTTTCATTTTAAATTACTAGAGGAACAGTTTTTCTTTTTTTTTTTTTTTCGAAAAAGTGGTGATATTTTTATTCCAACGCAAAGTACAGAATGTACGATTAAGCGTGGAAAGCGTGATGTTTGTATCGCGAGTGACGCGATTTATTTGCGCACCCGCGCTAATTGATTTACCGCGTATCGTTTAACGCGGCGACGGTCACCGCAGGGTCGAAAACGCGCGAGGAAAATTTCAAATCTCTCGCGTGGAAATGTCCTTCTCAACGACGATTCGTCTCTCACTTTCGTCCCTTGTGCGTTTACTCTGTAAAAGCCCCGTAGTACCGTGGCACACCGAATCGCATATCGCAGCGTCTTTGCGAGACGCGCGCATATATCTCGCGATAATATCCCTATAAAAGCATAATATTCCTAGAATATTATTCAATATTATTCAATTTATTAAAATAATCTCATAATATTCCAAGAGTGTCATGTAATAACATTTTTAATATCGTAGGAATATTCTGTTGACGTTATATGTCCACTTCACTTCACAATAACATTAAATGATATTATTTTCTGAATATCAGGAGTGGACGTGTAAACATCTATTAACATTCCAGAAAAACATCACTTAATATTAAATAATACTACACGCTTATAGGGCAGTACCGATCGCACTCATATGTACGACTTAAACATCCGCGAGTAATTGTTCTCATCTCCGGAGATTTTGACACCACGCCACGCGACCTGACGCAATTGTATATCGGTCTCGGCGCGCGGACGCGGGGAATTTCCTCTGCCACTTATGAACTCAGATCGTGATAATACGTAATGCAAAAGTGCCTGGCATATAGTCGAGCCTGCGGTGTTAACGAGGGGGACAGATATGCCGGGCCGCCTTTAAAAGTGGCGGCCGGAGACGGCCGAGGCCTGTCGCTTTAAAATGCCGCGCGCCGCCGCCGCTGGACACCGTGATCGGCCCGCCGCGATCGTCGGGTCGCCACTTCTTCCACCTTCCCGTGTCACCCTGTTACTTATACTGATGTTGTCGTTATTGCCTACGACGTTGCTGTCAGTGAGTGCCGGTCCGATACCCGATCTCACGCGGGAGTACCGGAATCTGGTGATGTCGTCCGACAGCTCGACGACCGACAACTCAGCGGACAATTCGACGGACGTCACAACCAACACCGACGTGTAATTTCTTATTCAATTATTTCACCCCCATAGAAACCCCAGCGAAGTTTATTCACCAACTATTTGGGTGATCTATGAAAATTAGAGGCGTAATGTTTCAAAAGTACTATTCCGAATGGGAAACCTAGAAAGATTCTATTTCCTCTGTCCAACATTTAAAGATTTTTTCCAAAGCTTTCTTTTAGATTTCCGTTTTGTTTATGTCGAACGAAGTATATCTGGAATGTTTTCGCACGATATTTATACGTTATCCTGTGTGAGGAAATGTTTCGAAAATGCTCGTAGGTACGTGATAAAAGCGGTGGTGTATGAAATCGGGATTCTCACAGACACGGATAACACGACGACGGACGAGAACACCGAGAGGTAACGTTCGCTTTTCCATATATACCAAGAATATTACTGAATATTAAATAATATCACGCGCTTATAGGGCCTTAGTGATCACCTTGATGTTATCGACTGACTTTTTCAACTGGTCTTACAGACACGAGAGAGTCGACATATCGCTGTTCGATCCGCCGCGCGCGAACGACGAATTCTCGTGACGGCCGAGGACGCTGTTTCCATCTCTCTCGAAGTGATAACGAGAAGGCAGGCGCAAGGTTGCACACTCAACATGCATTTGAGAACGTGAAGTAAATGACGAAAGATGACGGACAATACACGCTAAAAACACGAGGAATGCAGGAGAGTGGTATTTTTTTTTTCTCTCCGTAGCCGCGCGCATAGTAAATTATTCATCATGCGAACAACGCATCCGGTAAGCGGGGAATCACTAACACAACGTTGTTATTATTACAATGATATTTTATAACATGTGACGTTTTCAATGATCATCGTTCTTAATATTGTACACGTCACTGTTAACAATATTCGATCGAAACATTGAAAATAACAATACTCCCACGCTATGATTTTAATATTTAAGGACACGATATTATCAAGAGTTTAGGAACATTTATAAAATATTATATCAAAATGTTTACGAAATCCGCATAAAATCAATGTTTCGATAAAATTGACTTAATGTTACTTGCTTACCGGAATAGCACGTAGAGATTCGCACAAGAGTGCGCAAGAAGGATGTACGATGTGTGAAGGATCAACGAAAAATTGTAAAGAAAGTAAATCGATCTACAAAGGAAAGACCTGATTATTAAACTTTCCGTTGTCGACGACGGCGCGGCGTCGGAACGAAAATACTTTGGGATTTAGAACAATGTTTTATTATTTCATCATTTTAATTATGAACAATATCTCGTGTGTACAACGCTATAAACACATTGCTGCTGCAAAACCTGCGAGGCAGAAGAAAGTTTCACGGAACAATCAGGTAACATAATTCGCAGAATTGCCGTTTCGTCTTTTTTTTTCTCTTTTTTTTCCCCGTAGAATGACGAGAGGTATGTGTACCGATATTAGGTATATGATAAAGGTAGAGCTCGGTCGAAGCATGCGCAACAAGTCGAAGAAGGTGTAAGTTTTCCTGTGTGTATTTTTCCGCTGCCGATTCAACGCCATTTATCCTCCCTCCTCCCTCTCTCTCTTTCTGGAAGATCCTCGTGAAAGACTTACGTAACAGTCGTTTAAACTCGTACGTATGTATACAAATCTTTCCGCTCTTCTCTCCTCCCCTCCTCCTTCTTCTATCTTTGAGGGACGTAAGGTAAGCGCGCGCAAGTTCGTCGAGAGAGCTCCCGTTTCATACGATATCACGTGTAAATTTTGTCCAAATATTATAACAAAAGGTAATAAAAATACACAATTTTCTCACACACACGCACGAACCCACACATACACGCGCACGCACACTCTCTCTCTCTCTCTTTTATCTTTCCGCCCGTATCATATCGTTGCACTAACGTACGCTCAGTTAAACAGTAGGCACTGCACCCAAGTACCTTTGCCTTATCGAAAGAATAAGCAAAAGTACCAGTTTTTTTTTTTCACGAAATTCACGACGTGAAACACGGTGATCTTACGGTGGTCGAAACGTCGCGGGGTAAGTTCTCTCCTTCGTTTTTTTTTTCTTTCTCCTTCCCCCGCCACTTTCCGCCACCGTCGCGCCTCTCATTCGTTCGTAATAATGTGTGTGTAAACGTGCGCGTCCCGCGAAATCAAATTCAAACGGACGAACGGAGCCGATCAAGCGACGGCGAAATTCGTCGGATGTCTCTCTCCGTTCTCTCTCTCTCTCTTTTTCTTTCGTCTATAATCCGTGATGTAGCGCGAAATCGCGATTCCTTTTTTTTTTCTTCCACTGCTACTCCTTTCTCCTCCATTTCGAACGGAGACCAGTTTCATCATCACTTTACGTATAACAGTTTCTTTCTTTTCTTTTGTTTTACGAAACCCTTAACAATATGGTTGTAAAATATATATGTATGTACGCGGGAGAGACTTCACTTCCGCGAGAGGCGAACCTGTGCGAGCGACGTTGGCGGTTCAGGAAAGGGGGGGAGGGGGGTTATGTCGAGAGATACAGGGCGGGATCTATATATCTTTTTTTTGTTCTCTCTCTCTCTCTCTCTCATACGTATACGTAATAAACACCAAATTATTCGCTAAACGGTAATTGAGCGGTCGATGGTTAGGTGGATTCGGCATTCGTATTTATTCGAGATACCCTGCAACGGGACTGTACTGCGCCCAGAGCGTCAACACGTTCCTTTCTTTTCTTCTTTTCTTTTTTCCTTGTTTCTGCTTTTTTCCTCCCTTTAAAAACACATAATCAACACGCGGATATTGTGTGTGTGTGTGTGTGTGTTCTAATGAAAATAGAGGGCGTTAAATATGCTCCGATCGTTCTTCCTCGTCGTTTACAACTCGATACTGATATGATTTTCTCTCTTCCTATTGCCATATCATTTCGTCTAACATAGGCAGGGCAAGTGGGGGGTGGCGGGGGGGAGGGAAGGGGAGCGCAGGGATGGGAAGGGAACGTTGGTTTTTCACTTGGCGTCTTTCGAGGTCGGCGCAGAGTCGGCGGCGCTGCTCCTCGGAGCGTTCGGGGGAACCTGAAGAGAATATGCTTCCTGCGGCGGATTCTCGCTCATAGCGTCATCCGCTGTCTTCATTGTCACAGCTTTGTCCTCCGCGCTCCCAACATCGCTGGAACGAGCAAGGCGAACGTTTCTTTTTTTTTTTCTTCACCAATTGATCCAACCTCGGCAAACAGAGGTAGACGTAGTGTGTGTGTAAAAATACCTGTTAGTAGCCGGCGGCTTGCTGGGATTGGCGTTCCTGTCCGCCACGACGTGGATCGTCCCGTCCTCGTCGCTCTTACTGTGATTGAAATTGGCCTCCGTGGTGACGGTGGTGGACAGCACAGGTCCGATTACCTCGGCGTTGCTGCTCACTGAAGAAGAGTCCTTACCCTTCTTATCGCCGCTCCCGATGTTCTCGCTGGTGTCCTCCTTCGGGTCCTCCGATTTCTTCTCCTTGAGCTCCTCGTCGTCGTCGCGCGGCTTCTTATTGTTCTCGCACGCGGCGCTGTTTTCTATGCTCAGGGAGTTCTCGAAGTTGTCGAAATTCGCCCAGCCGGTGGACTCCATCGGCTCGGACGGCACCACGTCCCAGGGATTGACCGGCGGGAGGGCGGTGCCGGAGGTTAACGGCTCGGCGGTGTCCCAAGCTGTAATTTCGAGAGACGCAATTGAGCGATCCGAACCGCCTCGAATTAATTTCTACGCCCGATGGACAGCGGGAGGGGGGAGGAAAGAATGAGAAACGTACGATCAGTAGCGTCGACCTCCATATGCATGTCGCGCGTGTCCTCGTCGTCCTCGTCCGACGAACTGGAGTCCTGATGCTGCTGCTTGGAATGCCAGTCCCGCTTGTCCACCACAGTCTGGAATGTCAGCTCGCCCTCGTCGCCCCACTCGACTCCGCCGCCGCAGTCCTCGAGACCGGCTTTCTGCTTTTGTTGGCACAGCTTTAACCGAAAAGAAAAAAGAAAAGGTTCGCCGAGCCAGGACAGACTCGATCTCAGTACTTGCCGAGTAATAACTTGCGGTTAAAACTTGATTCAGCTGAATGCCTGAAGGAAGTATCTACCTTATTGAACATATCTTCTCGCTTGTCGAGATCTTCTTCACTGAGAGTAAAGGCCAACGTTGTTAATTGGTCAACTGGATTACTATAATATCATTCTTCTTAACGAAAAACAGCAGGGGAGGAGCGACAATGGCGATATTACGTTATGATTTTTTTTTTTCGTTCTTAATCGCGTTCGGATTCCCGAGTTTGGACTCAACCAGTCGAAGGCTGTGTGTGATCGCGTTTTTAGGACAACCCGGTAGCGGTGCTATTAAGACTGTTCGGTCTTCCCTCGCCGCGGCCGTCTTAACTGACATCAGAGAAACGAGGAAACATATCCTCGAACTTCGGGTTTGAGCTCGCAATAGTTAGTGAGGAATTGATTATTTTATCCGGGCCGATGAACGCACGGAAAAAGACTTCATGAAAAAGATCTTCTAACAACGATGAGAGCCAACCAATTGATGACAATTCTGTCGCAGAATTCAATAGACAAATATCACGAGCACGTGGAACGGATTGAGATGAACAAAAAAGTCCTGTGCCGTTTGGCAAACAACGTGCAAAAAATTTCGAGTTATCAATTATCGAAAAATGATCATGCACAGAGGCTTCTTTAATTAATAATTCAAAAACTCATGCGTTATCTGCAAATTGGTGAAGGACAAAATCATGAAAAAAAGGGGGGGGGGACGTCGCGTTAATGTTAATTTCACGGTTATTTATTGACTGTTAGAGAATTTATGGAGTATTTCGCAAATATATCGCTCGCAATCGATCACAAGTTGTGCTATTTTGCGGAGATATCCTTTCGACTTGTATTTCATGCGTATGTTTTCTCGCTTCTGACGTCATTAAATAAGATAAACGGCAGCGAGGGCGACCGGAAGAGTTTCAAACGTCTAGTCGACACACGATACACGTCGCGTTGTACTTACTGCAGCGCATCGTCGCCATCGTTGAACTCGTCGTCGTGGAAACCGAAATTCTCAATGAAAGGCGGCGTTATTTGCTGGCCCTGGTAGTTGGTGTACATCTATAATACCAACAAAACATCACCACCGGTGAAATGTAAGTCACAAAAGTATAGTAGGATCTCTCCGGAATGAAAGCTTGGGGACCAGAATTTCCATTACAGAAGAGTCGCTCAGCCCCGCCCAAAGGCAGGGCCGTATCCAGCGTTCTCTAATTTTGCAGTTATCTCCAATCCTCACCACGTCTCAATACATAACTTGAAACATGAATGTATTTTACATATATCGGCAAATGTTGAAGACCAATTAAAATATGAACTATCTAATAATGAAAATATTAACTACTACTCATTCGCAGGGAGGGTCCACTCGAGAGAGATCCTACTTTATGACGATAATCACTATCGTAGCGCGCATGCGCGCTAACCTGTTGGATGTACGCCTCCTGCGAATAAGAGTTGTACTCGTCTGGGTTCTCCTCGGAACTCATCAGGTACACTTGATTCTGATCACCCTGGAAATTTTATCATTATTGCAATCACGCGTTACCTAATGCAGTAACGGTAAGAGGTAAGATGTGAGTGAGTGTAACGTATTAACGGACGTGTATATACGTTGACACAACGAACGCAGAATATAATCACACCGTTACGTACCATCATTACAGTCTGATGAATCTTATTGATCTCCACTAACTGTGTACTCACAAGCTTCTCCCACTTACTAAGACACTCGGGTGGCAAATTATTCTTTAGGAAGCTGTCCAATATATTACTCTTCTCGCACTGAGTGACGATGTCGTTCGCGATATTAATCAAATGTCCCATATAGCCCTGCCGGACGCCGTTTTCTTTGTTCCTGCGAACGCAAATTCTCTCATTAGGAGCCGTGCGAATGTCTACGAGATACTAAGAGCCACGAGAGACTTTCGATGCGTAAATCGAGCTACTCGATTTTTACTCGATCTTTCGGCGCTATCTATCTCTTACTGTTTACTCTCGTTTTTGTCCCAGGCTTCTAGAATTCTGTCTATTAATTTGCACTTGATAAATATCTAGAAAAATTAATGCAACAAAGTAGTTACTTTCGGATTTGTCCTTCGCTGCGGCGATAGTAGTTTCTCATGATAATGATGAAGAAAAAATGCACAACTCACATTACTATAAATAATATCATTAGTATCCCGATGTCCGCAATTAATAGCTAAGGCCAGGCACTGTTGTACTTGTGTGTGTAAAAAATTATTCCACGTATATTTGAAAAACAGATCCTACAAAATTTCAAGTGTGTGCGTCTTAAAGCAGAATGATACACAAAAGGAAAAAAGTTACGAGAGATGGGCTCGCAAATTGTTACGGTGTTCCTTACCAACAATGTTTGGAATGTTCCCAAAGTTGCTAAACTTTCATGGATCTTTAGATTCTCCGTCGACAATAACGCCATCAACAATTTCGCTACGTGTAAACGAGTATTTCCCAATGGACATTCTAAGATCCCGACGGTTGTCTTCACTGCGGGTTTCTGGATAAAACGGAGATTTGATATTTCTTAACATAGAAGCACAAGATGAACATCGATGTCGAAGGAATAGTGATATATCGATAGTCAGAGTTTGCCGGCATCTAGATAAAATTATCTAATCATCCAGATAAGTAGATCATTTTTATCCAGGTGAATACAAAATATATGCATCTTCGTCTTAAATAAGAAAAAAAAAACATTGTCTAGATAAATTAGAAGCGAAATCATCTTCGTCAAAGATGAATTTCTCGGATTTTCGCCTTCATCGATCTCGCATTCATCTAGACGAGTCTGAGGTCATTTAAGGCAAACACTGTCGACAATATGATGAGAAAAATGTGGAAAAGGATTTGCGAAGGAGGTGCGTCTCTTACGTATGGTGGATCCAAAAGAAGCTTGTGAAGGTGCTCCAGATATGGTAGAGTTGCGTCCGAAATCTTAATACGTTGCTCATTATCCGCGACATCCTCGCTGTTAGCGTGCACATCTCCCTCGTTTAACGCGCTGCTGCGAAAAGAAAGAAGCAAATTTACTACATACATGCTACGTCCACTTTACAAACTCTTAACAGACAACTCTCAAATATACTCGTCATACTTGTTAGCCTTTTGTCCTAGAAGTACCAAAAGCACCTGTATTCCACCGACGATACTACTTTCTAGTTTCTCTCCTGTCAAGATAGTCTCTAATAATAGGCTCACAGTTTCACCCCTGTGAAAGAGGAACACACGTCGTTCGAAGTAACGTCATTTGCCAAGTAAGATGAAATAAGCTTCAGACTCATACAATTGCATATTGGCGACACTTACGATTCTAGAGTATTTAAAATAGGATCTGGATCGGCGCGTTCTGTGGATGTACGTTGAGTCTCCCTCGCCACCGTCACCATATCACAAAGTAATTGCGCCGCGTTAGCGTGTTTGGCCGGCTCCGAATTGGGCGCTAATAACTTTACCAGTCTCTGCACTAAATGTTGACTATCTAACCACTGTCGGAGAAGAGACGACGACTATGCAACATGTTTTTCAGTACGACGGAAACGTTTTATTTCAAGGAAGTAAGATCTTACGTTCAATATGTTTTGACGCATATCACTGCCTTCCACCTGAGTAACGAGCTTCAGCACTAAGTCCATAATAGCGGAGGTCTCTAAATGCCGCAACAGTAGATCTACACATTTCTGACGGCTTTTAAGAAACTCTAAGACCTGTAAGCACGTGAACTGATAGGAATACCAATTCTGGAATGGACGGAAGTATGTAAGGACAGACAGGTGGTGTGTGGTGGTGGTGGTGATGACATGGGAGAGGCAAGAGAGGGGGGGAGAGGGAGATAATTTATTATTCGACTAGTATTATTTTGCTAATAGGTTTATAAGTGATAATCGACACTTTGGAGGAAGTTATTGTGAATATATTAAACACAATTAAGACCGGTCGAGTTAATTATAGTGTAAGATGCATTATTATTATTATTATTATCGTGATGCAACAAATATCACCATCGGTTTGCTATACGCAACACACACGCGTTAGCGTGGTCTCTTGTGCAAGAGAAAAAAAAGTAAAATCTGTGTCAATTATAATCACCTGGTCACTTTTACGAGCGACAAGTACTCCGAGGGTTTTGCTGAAAAACGACGCGAGCAGTGGATTCAGTGGCTCGTCGGTGTCTATGAAAGAATATAATTTCGCCAGAAGCGCCTCGTCACCTGAAAGAGTCATCAAATCACACGATGTAGAATCGGGGAGTCGGTTTACAGTACTGAGAAGAAAGCTGATCATCATTGGCTGTGTAATACGACGATTTTTCCCAAATACCTGCCAATTTCTCGTTCAATGTAGGCACATCGCATGTGAGTAACTCACAGGCGACATTGGGATACTTGTAACGCCAACGTTCCTCGATGTCCATCGACGGTTCCTTAGTGGTTAACGTTACCAATTCCTCCATGACGGTGGGCCTTGTGAGGCTGTAATCAATTACAAATTATTACGTCGATTATCATGTGAAAGATGCGTCCAAATGCGCGACGAGAGAAGAGTAAACAGCGATATATCGGGTATACAAATTAATTCGGTGTCCCCGACGTCCTGTAACTTTGATTCGAATTTAAATTTCTCCCCCATCCTGATGGTGACTCGAAAGTGCCAGGCTTTAAGCTTTAGGATGCTCTATAACAGTCGACGGCCCCGACTGACATAACCTCAGAGAACAGTAGTTATCACAAGGCACCGCATCTTTTTTCCATTCCGATAGAAGAAAAATGCCGCTTCGGCCTACCGAGATGATTCGTTCCGCTTTGGGCATTCGTCGGCCACCCGACAGATGGAGCAAAGTATCACGGAAAATAACGGAATTCATTTCAAACAATAAACTCGTAGTACTCGACTTTTCGTGTAAATAAACCTTGAATCTCACCGGCCGAAAAAAAGGCACCGAATTAATTTGTAACACCCACTGTATATGCGTGTTGTGTGTGTGTGTGTGTGTGTGGTGTGTGTGTGGTGACCACTTACTACTCGACCAGCTTCTTATTCTGGCTCTTGCATTCCTGCAGAATGTCCTCCTCGTCCATCAATTCGTGCAACGTGACATCCTGCAAGCAAGCACGAGTCGTGAAAAATCGCACGACCGAGGGAGAAATCAGACGCTTTTATCCGCTTATATGCTGGGAGGAGTGCGACGGGGGATGAGGGGAAGGGGGAGAGGAGGAGGAGGAGCAGTATGAGCGAGGAAAACCGTTCGAGGAAAAAGTAAGAACCTCGAGGCTCGAAGGAGAGAGAGAGAGAGAGGAAAATGAGCTCAGGATCATCACTTACCTCCTTGTTGAGCAACGCCTCGATATGCGGCGATGACACGTAATTATTCGTCCAGAACATAATGACGCGCGTGGGGACACTGCGTGTGGGTGTCCCGCTCTACTGCTGCTGCGACGATGACGCTTCACACCGACGACGATCGCACTGTGACGATTTTATCGGAGCACGGAGCGATGATGATGATGATGACGACGGTGATGATGACGACGATGACGACGATCGCATCGGAGTGGCGCGTAGACGCACCGGGATAACAACGTAACGTAACGTCGCCTGCTCGAATGCTGCTGCTGCTGCCGTGCGTAAGCGGCTAACATCGCATGCACGCGTGGTATCAATCCCTCGGCTCGTCGATCCCTTCCGCCGCGTCGCCGCGGCCGTCGCGACACACCACCGCCGTTGTCTCCACTGTCGTCCTCGTCACTCGTCTCGCTGCCGCCGCCTCCTCTACAAACCACCTCCGGGACCCACCACCTCCGTGCGAATCACCACTTCCTCTCCCTCTCTCTCTCTATCTATCTATCTGTCTCTCTCTCGTTCGTGACCTCGTTCGCGACTCGGTACGGGTGACGACGACCGTCGTAACCGCCGGGAAGCAGCGACCTAAAGCGCGATTTCCCGCGACCTGCACGCGCGTCGCACACACACTCACACGTACACACACACACACACACACGAGGGTGCACCCCGCTTTGAAATTAGTGCGGTGCGTGCGGAGCTGCCACGAAATGAGCGCGACCGCATAGAAATGCTCTCGGGCGCGAATGGACGCGCAAGCGCGAGAATGCTTCCTTCTCCGGTCCTTTCTTCCGAAGAGGCGCGTTCGGAAATCCGATTGCAGTCTGATACGGGCTTTAAGCTGGGTCTACAATAGAGTTTTAAGCCTTGAGAAATTAACCAATCACAATTGATTATTCTTCTCGATTGTGATTGGTCAATTTCTTATGGCTTAGGGTTTAAAGCATCTATTGTAGCCTAGGACGAACGTAATCTGTATCTGTGATCCGTTCTTTTTAGCTGCACTGATGAACTAGTGCAATAAGGAAGAGCGAGACAAAATATACTTAGGTGTTTTCGCGTTTGACACTTTTGCAAATGTCTCTCTAATGTCCGTTGCACACCAAATACGATATGCAATGACAACCTTCTCTTTAAAGAGAGGTCAATGCGCGACGGGCTTTAGGTGTAAAAGTATCAAAAATGCGAGCAACACGAACAAACTTCTTGTCTCACTCTAACTTAATGTTCAAGAGTGAAGCTAAAAAGAACAGACCATATGAAGCGCACGGTGTTTGTGCGTTTATGCGACAGTTGTTGGTCGCACCAATAATATTTATTGTATTTTCGCAAATTATCGTGCGAATTGCTTCGCCAATGACTACCTCGGTCAGCACGAATCCGTCTACGTTACTGCCTTTAGGTAAGACAACTTATTCGTAATTTAAATTCGCGAAATACACGTTTCTAACCTGAAGCAAGCATTCGAGTAGCCGAGCGACGTTCGAACGTTGACGAACGCCTGTGTTCGTAGAACTGGTGGACAAGTGCATCGGTTCCCGGATACACATCATCATGAAGAACGACAAGGAGATCGTCGGCACTCTGCAGGGATTCGACGACTTCGTGAACATGTTACTGGAAGATGTGACCGAGAGCGAGGCAACCCCCGAGGGACGCAGAGTTACCAAGTTAGATCAGATTCTTTTGAACGGCAGCAACATCACAATGGTACTTTTACAATATTTACAATACCCGATACTTTTATAATGTTTATGATATTTTGGAGGAATGTGTTACAGTAACGAATTATAATTTCCACGTAGCGTGACGTAAAACAAGACAGAATGCAGACTCTTGTAATTAATTTTCTCTTTCGTTTCTTTCCCTTTATTCTGTCGCAGTTGGTGCCCGGTGGTGAAATGCCAGATACATAAGAGAGAGAGAGAGAGAGAGAGAAAGAAACCGTATCCAAATCGTTACTATAAGACAAGCGATAATATAACAATGACTGTTGCAAATAAGATATGTTCCAAACTTGAGATATAATTTCGGTAAAATACACGTTAACGATTAAGCAGGAGATCGAGCCTACTGATTATTTCACGAAGTGCCGGCCTTTCCGCGACATCCTGCGACCACATTACTCTGTACAATTCTCTGTAGTCCCCACCGAACTCGTCGTCCAGAACCCCGTCATCAGGACGAGCTCCTTTCGCGGAGATGTATATAATAGTGTGGATGTGTAATCCGTGGAAGGGCGCTTTTCGGGACAGCATTTGCCACGCCACGATTCCTAGTGAATAAACGTCAGCGGCAAATGTGGGCGCGTCTCCTCTGAGCACCTCCGGTGCTGCGTACCCTGGTGTACCCTGGTAAGGAGGAAACCGGTGAGTTCTCGTAAAAGAGAAAGCTCAATCAGGATCAAGATGCGTTAGTCCTAATCTACAATAAGTGCTTTAAGTCCTAAGCCTTAAGAAATTGAGCAATCACGATCGAATTGTAGAAGAATAATCAATTGTGATTTCTTAAAGTTTGAAGTTTAAAACTCTATATTGTAGATCGACACTTAAGCAGGGTCTACAATGAGAATTTAAGGTATGATTTAAGAAACTGACCAAACACAATTGATTATTCTTCTATAATTCGACTGTGATTGGTTAATTTCTTTAACGAGCCATCGGTCAGGAATCAGCTGTGAATTGTTGAAGGATAAGCCACTTCGAGAATAAAGGTTTCAACAATCGTGTGTGTGTGTGTATGTGTGCATACTCGCGGCTTGACAGAAATGTGCGATTCATCGATCAGGAGAGAGCTACCGAAATCAGTGAGTTTAGGTCGACCGTCGGCGGTCATCAGGATATTGGTCGGCTTGACGTCCGCGTGTATCACGCCGGAATTATGGCAGAATCGCAGCGCGTGGCCGACGTCTCGCCAGATGGAGACGCGCTCCTGCCTCGCGAGGACCTGCTCCTGCAGTTTGTCCTGCAACGACGTGCCGCACAGTTCCATCGTAATCAACGACAAACTGCTGCCCCGCTCTACGTTCAGTATTCTCACGATATTCGCGTGCCGCAGGATCGCCGCGTGCCCCTCCGAGCTGATCGTTTCGTCGTCGTTCTGCCTGCGTTGAATCACCTTGGCCGCCACTTGGTCTCCTGCGGAAAGAAACGCGCGAAGACGGTGTGTGTGTGTGTGTGTATGCGTAAAATCAAATTCATTAAAATTATATTCGATTCATATATATTCAATTAAATTCAACGGAGGAACTGGTCGTTAACGAGAACCGCGAGAAAGAGAGTTTCGTATCGTACCTTTGTAGAACGCCTTGTAGACGGTGCCGAAGGCACCCGTTCCCAACACAGGACACTGTTTCTTCGGCAGGCCCTCCCGCAGTATCTTCATTCTGTTGGGGGTGTCGATGTTGAACGGCGACAGCAGCTTCTCGTTCTCCTGCCGTTGCACGCGAACGTTCCTCGGGGTCCTCGGACTTGGAAGGAAAGAAGAGAAAGGAAAACAACAAACGTCTCCGAATGGAATGGAACTCGCGCCTCACGGCTCGTGTGTCGGCTCGGCTGACGAGCGCGGGTCTCTTCGCTCACCTGGTGTCCAGCACATTATCGAATGTTCGGGGCAGGCGCTTCAACGTGGAAACTATTCGCGGCGAAGCCATTTGTTTTCGCGTTACCGCTTATCGTAATCGTCATAATAACTTATACGGGGCACATGGGAGCGGAGGACGAGAGTGCGCCCACTGTAACGTTCATTCGTGTACTGCGTCGCACACTTGTTTCCCGCCAGGAGACCCAAAGTCGACACAAGTCTGGTTATATCATCGGTGTTATCCTGTTCTTTTTTTTTCTGTATTTTTCTATATTATTATTATTTTATTCTTTTTTCTCTTTTAATATTCTGAGAACATTTTTATATTGTTATATATTATATACGAAATATATTTTGTAACATGCCAAGAATATTATGTGAAGTGGACATGTAACGTCAACAGAATGCTCCTATGATATTAAAAAATCTTACACAACATTCTTGGAATATTGTAGGAATATTATGATTTTAGTATTGAGTAATATTCATGTAATATTCTAGGAATATTACACGCTTATAGGGATGAAGACGATACAACTGGACTCGTGTCGACTTGTGTTTCTCGCTGGAAATCAACCCATATTGATTCAGGCAAGGACGAATAATACGCAAACGTACATCGACTGTGTACAGAAGCATGTTCCGGGTGTTCCAAAATAATCTCGAATATACATAGCCAAGAAGCAAAATGTTAGCAGTATGCCGGCAAACTGGAAGTATCGAGAAGTCTTATAGGATTATTTAGTTTTGCTTCAATTGTCAAGTCGAGCTTACAATTTAAAACGGTAACGTGTCATGTCGTTTGTCTTTTTTCCGTCACGTGGGAATTGCGGCGAATTTCGCAGCGAGGTAGAAATAAGTGAAATAGAATCGCACAGAGAGCAATTAAAATATTTTTTTTATTTCTTCGGTCGCTAATTTAAGGCGTAAATCAGCTACTGAGAGCCTATTGCTAATTATTATTTTCTCTTTCTCTTTCTCTCTCTCTCATCCTTCCCCGTCTCTCTTTTTTTTCTCTCTCTCTCTCTCTCTCTCTAATACTGTGTACGTTAACTAGATTATTTACAGTTATTCTATCGCACCATAATTATATTCGCCTTGATAATCTCTCGTTACGTTATCGATAATGTAGTAACGTACGCACGTAAGTATACATATATATATGTATGCGCGCGCGTGTGTGTGTACTGATAATAGTCTACAGAAAACGTAGCTAATTAGAATCTGAGTTACAAAGTTGTTACTAACATTAAGTGCTGCGTAGGTACCATCTTGTTTCTGAGCGACTCTTGTTCGCTATCACAATGTGTTAAGTGTCACCCCTCTCTCTCTCCCTCTCTCTCTCTCTCTCTGTTATCGACTAATTAATTAATTAACGGTAAATCTGTAATAAGCGGAAAAGACTTTACAGAAGTTTTCTTTTTTAGTAAAATACTCTAACGAATAAAAATACAGTGTATCCTCTATATATATATATATATATATAGTATCTATATATGTATATATATATGCTTTATTTGTTCGAAAATAGTTCATTTAGTTAACTATAACCGCCTCTCTCTCTCACCAGCCTTATTCCTTACTACAGTTCCGATCCGCTCTAACAGCGTCATCGATCGCGCTTGGTCTTGCCTGAAACGCGCGCATATCTCATACTCTCTTCCAGATTTCGAGTAAGTTTGAACAAAAGAAAGAAATATAGAAACAGGATCGAAATCGTGAATAAGTTAGTTAGTAAGTGAGTAAATAAGCTCGCACGTGAATACCGACCCGCGGTAGGATGCGCAGAACGCACATATTTCTAATCAACGTCGTAAATGAACGTCGCGACGTTCCTTTTCTGTCGAGTCAGCAGTGTTGGAGAATCTACGTAGATCGGAGGATCTGTCTCTGCGCGAGAACTTATTATTAGACTTGAGAATTCACGGATGTACGATATCTATGGGATATAAAAATATGCGAGTCTCTCTCTCTCTCTCTCTCTCTCTTTCCACTTAAGTATCTGTGAATGGAAGTACCCGTGCGAGTAAAGGAAATTTGTAGAAACTTTTGTATACATATATTCATGCATATAGGCGATAATAAGTGTACAATTAGTGCCTACGAATTTAAGGATATGTGCATCACGTGAGCAGAGAGAGCGACGGAGAGGCTAAGAATCGCAGATCGACCGACTCGAAAATGTATGTGTAGATGGAAGAGTTTCTCTCTCTCTCTCTCTCTCTCTCTCCTTTTTTTTTTTCGAAAGGACCATCGTGTAGATGATCATCGTTTTCTTTTTTTCTTTTTGGAAGGATCATCAGTATTTTTCTAAGACTTAAGATTTAAACACAAGTTGTAAAATCGACGACTGACGCGACCGAGACGCGAAACCGGAAGAATCAGAGGGATCAAGCAAAAAGCCCCTGCGAATACGAACTCAAACGCATCTACGAAGAAACTTTTACACGTCTGTGATTGCGATTCGTAACGAGGCAGGAAGAAGAGGAGGAAGAGAAGGAAAGGGACTAATATAGTTTCGAAACGAAGACGTGGCCGGGCGCGAGGAATCCGCTGAGAAAGCTCGAGGGATACACCGTTGTCGTGAAACTCTCCTCGCCGAGGTGCTCACCTCGAGGATCTAAGGAACTACGTGTGGGCACGGAGAAGACGGGAGTTTTATGCCGGGACAGCAAATTGTTTGTTGATGTATAGCCTCGGCGGGAAAATTAACGGCACGGAAAAATTAATTTTACTGTCGTAGCGAAACGTCGTTGCGACAGTAATGAAATTTAATTCGCACGACCAAATTACTTTGCCGTTCATATATCCGGCAAATATTCCAATTAATACTCTTAATAAATTTTTCTGCCAACCAGACACAAAGTTTTATAACTTTCCATCCAATTGTCTCCTTTATCAAAAGACTGACGAAGAGTCATAAGATTTCAGAATCCTATCTTTTACGCAAGAAATGTATAGGAAATTAATTTGAAATTTTTTTCACTGTATTAACAAACAATTAACTGTTCCAGCAAAATTTTTCTCTCTCTCTCTCTCTCTCTCTGTGTGTGTGTGTGTGTAACATTCCGCGTGAAGGAGGGATACAACGCAGGGGGAACAATTGATCCTCGCGATCGTCGCCGCTGGTTGAGCATCGTTCTCGCGACGTCTCGAGTTTGTCGTCTCTTTTTTTCTCCTTTTCTTTTCTCGCATTTTTTGGCACTATCCTTACACGCGTGCCGCTTTACATTACAACGTTTTTCCTGAGCATTGTATCGTCGAGCACAAACTCACATGAGGCACTCAGAGGCACCGGTTTTCCAACGTGCAATTTCGAAAAACGTAAAACGTTACATCTCGTTAGGCGTTACAAGCGAGCGATTCAATCGCCCCGAGAAATGTGCCTGGCCGGACTATTTACATTACGATTTCTACGATATGATAGTCGGCGTCGGACTATGGATTGAAGATTGAGACTGAATTGAAATTTGATCAGTCAGTGTAGCATTCACTAAATTTGAGTTTAGTGAACTTTGCTCTGATTGATTAAATTTCAATCCGATCTCAATCCTAATCAGTCTGATACGGGCATAAGGCGAGAACCGAGTAGTGTTTCACCAGGGAAGAAAGGATGAAGAATGATGTAAAATATGTGGGATGAAAGGAAGACCGGGAAATGCGCGCCATATTTTCGCAAAGTCGGAGACGTGCGAAAACGAAGAGCCGTGTGTCTTCGTTGTAAGAATACATATGTATGTTGAATCGAAGATTCGCGCGCATCGAGAGATTCGCGAAGCCAAGGCTGCGTTCGAGAAACTGTCGAGTGAGCTTTCATCGCTGTCATCGCGATACAGCTTTTGGATTATCCGTAAATCCATGAAGCGGGGTCTACAATGAGAATTTAAGCTCTGAGCCTTAAGAAATTGACCAATCACGGTCGATTATTCTCCTCACATTCGACTGTGATTGGTTAATTTCTCAAGTTTAGAAGCAGCTATTGTAGACTTATTGCAGACCGGAACCAACAGTGCCGTAACTAAAAGCAATAATCACTCGACACCATCCAGTTGCCACACACCATCGTTATGTTTTTCTGAACGCCTCAATGCCTTCGCGCCAGCGAAGTTTGGGAAGTTGGAACCATGTCAGATTGACGCAACCGAAAGACGGGAACCGGGAGGTCCGTGTAAGCCGAGGATCGCCGAAACAGAACGGAGGAATTACGGAAGCGAGAATTACGCACAATGAAAGAAAGAATGCAAAAAAGGAAGAAGGATTCGCGCGAAAACGAGAGAGATACCGACCGGTCGTCCGACCGACGTCGAGACGGCGAACCTCTATACGCACAATACGCATATCTTATCTCTATCCTGAACTACAATCACGCCACTTAACAGTTTCCCTATCAGTGGACCCGAAACACATTACACATACTCCAATTTAACAAAAATAAAACTTTGTACACACAGACGGCAGATTAAAGGTTACGACACTTTCTTTGTTCCTTCGATGAGTTTCGCCACGCATCCCGCCGTCTGATAGAAGAGGGATTTTACGCTCGGTGATTCTCGGGAGATACATTTTTTTCCAGATCGGACGCGAGATACCCTGTGAAATCCATCGGGAGAAAGTGCTGCGACTTTTAGGCTATACTCGTGAAGCGGCGTCGACAATGAGAATTTAAGCTCTAAGCCTTGAGAAACCAACCGAGTCACAGTCGATTATTCTCCTCGTGTTCGGCTGTGATCGGTCAATTTCTCAAGTCTCACGCCTTAAAACAACTATCGTAAACCCCGCTTTACCACACTTACACCTATACAACTATTGTAAATCCGGACTTAATCTGCCGACCGTCGGACTGAGCGTCGTTAAACACGTCGTTCCTTCCCCCTCCCCCCCCCCC